GGCGGGGTCGGGGGTCCGGGGCCGCGCCGCCGCCTCGGCCGAGAGAGGGGCAAACCCGCCCTGACGCCCCGGGGCGGAGTTTGATCCCGAGTGTCATAAGTGCGGGAGCGAAAAAAAGCAGGAGGCGAGAGGAGAGGGCGCTCCTCTCGCTGTGACAGACCCCCAACAGTGGAGGGAGAAACCTGCGGAGCGAGGCGTCTGCGCAGTGCACGGCTGAACCATGCCCCCCAGCCCAAGCCGCTCGTGGCCTCCCGTGCCCCCAGGGTATCACTACCAGCAGGGAGCGAAAGCAAGTATCATGGCTTAAAAAAGAAAAAAATTCCCCAGAGCTTTTGTGCTCTGAAAAAACATCATCTAACACTTTGGTTACTGAGCAGTTGGTTACAGTTTGTAAAGCACTGGAGCAGAGTGAATCCTGCAGAGCTGCCCTTGCTCTGAAGGCACACGCGTGGCCTTAGACTGCACGGTCAGGTGCTGAAGTCCGGATTGCAAGGCGAGGGCTTTCACTTTTACGTTGGATTCCTCCGGAATTGCCTTAGTTTTCTCCATGTGGGCATATAGGCAGCTCAAGAATGTAATGCAGCTGCAGAAATACAGCTTCTGCACAATGCTTCACACTTAGTAACACACTCAGCTCACCTTTTGCAAGGGCGTTTGTGTATGTCACAGTCTAGTAACGGCATTTGTCAGTAACATCTCAGCACTGCCCCTGTCAGTTTTGGGATTCTTACTGCGCCCAGGCTAAACTCCAACCTCATCTCATCTGCCAACGTTATCAGTGTGGCATCTTGAACAGTATAGTCAAAGCAGGCAATAAATCTCTGGCAGGGAAGGCCGAGTCCCCTGTTTCTATTGCTGGACTTCTGTCTGCAGAAACCTGGCGAGACCCTAATCCTGCAAGATTTGTGCATGTCTTTAACTTAAAGGATTTTAGCGGAGCCATCCAGCTGCCTGGCACTGCTTTCCTGACTCAAGTCACTAGCGTGCATAGAGTTTCTTCATATGTGAATAATTTAGGATCGGATATGGTATGCAGATATCAAAATAAACAATTATTTTGAGATGATGGTTTTCTGACTTAAAGGGATGTTCAGTACCTTTTGAAATCTAAAGTTGAACTACCCACATTTTTAAAATTTGTTTTTGAACTGTTATGAATAGCTGGTTCTTAATATGAATGAAAGGACCAGCATCTACTAATGCGTATTAATTTATTAGATTCTCTCTCTCTTTTTTTCTTCTTAATATTAGGATTTCCTCACATGTTAGCTTTAGCTGCTTTTGAAAGTTAGTTGCAGAAACGGTTTCTACACCCTAACTGTATGGGATCGCTTGTTTCTGTGGAGAGAAAATGACTCATTTCTTTGCTAAATGTAGGCCTGGGCCTCTCTCTTAAACACGTCTTGTCTAAGTGAGAGAATGGCTTGAGCAAAGTGAGGCAGTGTTGTTGTTCTTGACCTAAAACATAACTGGACTTTTAAGTGAAAAGCACTGTGTCTCTTCCACCAACCTTCTTTTGATGTCCAAGACTGGTGCAAAGAATTAAATACAAAGGAAAAAGTTGGTCTTACTTTTAAAGTGACTGCTGTAGGTTTGAAGAAGTCTACTTGTACTGTCAAACTGTTCCTGCAATAATATAGTATATTTCAAAGTATTTTATAGCTTTACTTTTGCCTTTTGTAAAAGCAGTCAAAAGCTATTTTTAGCTTTTCTTTTGACCGTGATAGATCAGGAGTGGACTTTGGAATCCCTGTAAACGGATTGAAGTAATTGTCCTGTTTTGTTTGATATTGTGCGCTTGTGTAAAGTTCTGAAAAGACAGCGGCTGGATTAATCCACTCCTGGATTAATTTTATTCATCAGGCTCCAGTGCCTACTGAGAGTGCTGTTGGCAGCACAATACAAGCTGTAGATTACCATCCTGGAACTGATGTTTATGGCTCCAGAAGGCAGCTGCATATGGAGAAGAACCTGAGTTCAGCGGCTGAAGCATGCTGTTGGCCACGCAAAAGGGTATGGGATGGCTTGACCTATTTTTCTGTTCTACGCTAAGATGAGATGTAGCACAGTATTATGAAAGTCTGGTCAATTCGCCTCTGACAATGAGTAGAGCAAACAGGTGTTTTTCTACGTTTAGCTTGCTGCCCAGCAAACTGACATCAGCCCTAACCTTTGTATTCACTGTGTTATAATCAAACTATTTCATTCAGTGGATTTCTGTAATAAAGCAAGAGTTTTATAGTAGAGGCCAACTCCACAATATTTCATTGCCTTAATAATCAAAATCACAGAATCACAGAATCGTTTAGGTTGGATGGGACCTCTGGAGATCATCTAGTCCAACCTCCCTGTTCAAGCAGGGTCACCTAGAGCATATTGCCCAGGATCACATCCAGACGGGTTTTGAATATCTCCAGCGAAGGAGACTCCACCACCTCTCTGGGCAACCTGTTCCAATGCTCTGTCACCCTCACAGTGAAGAAGTTTTTTCTCAGGTTCAGATGGAACTTCCTGTGGTTCAGTTTCTGCCCATTGCCTCTTGTCCTGTTGCTGGGCACCACGGAGAAGA